ATGTTGTTTTAACAGAATTTAAAAAGTGTAATTTTAAGGTTATAGAACTCTGCTCTAAATGGGTCAGTGTGACAAATGTGCTCAGTGATGAGTCATATCCAACAGTCAGTGTAGCTCTCATCGCCACTGCCTCAGTGGAGCAGCACCTTATACTGTTTTGCAAAACTGGCTGTTGCTATGCTATTCAATGCACAGAAAGCTGAGTTCTGATACCCACACTAGGGAAAAACAAAACAAATGAAACTATGAGCAGAGTTGAAACTTGTGGTGTCAAGGATTCTATGCCCTTTTATGGCTCATGTATCATTTTGTCTGCCCTCTCTCCTTATATCTAATGCGACCCTCTCTTTACTTTCTTTCTAAATTTGAAGTGTACAAAAAAGAATAAATAAAATAAGCACTTGTTCTCTTAAATTCTCTTAATTATTTTGGAAAATTAAAAGAAAGGGAATAACAAAACCAGTTGATAAGGACCTAATTACAAACAAAGAAAATAATAATTAGCACAATTAAATAAACATTGTAGAAGGAAGGATGGATTTAAAAAGAGGTAACTATATTTCAATTATATTGAACAAATAATAAAATTATTAAGCTACAAAAAGTTATGTATATACACTATAGCACTTGAAAAACCATGTAACAGGGAAAAATTCACATATAAAAATTAGATTCTAATGTTCATTCAACACACATATAATTTTTAAAAGTAAGTAAAATAAAACAATTGCAGAATGAACAGAAGGCAAGAATTATAAATATGTATTTAACCTCTCTCATATCAATAATTGCATTGTGTAAGTGATCCAAGTGCACCAAATAAAATTTTGAGTGGATTAAAATGTATGACCCAACTATTTACTATAAACAACAAAATAATGATACCTATAACTTAAAAGCCAAGTAATATAGGAAAATATAGAATGCAAATATTGAAAAGAGCCTGCTGGGATGTATTGGTACATGAATTGAATCCCAGGACTTGGGAGGCAGAGGCAGGCAATCTCTGAGTTCGAGGCTAGGTTGGTGTATAGAAAAGCCAGGGCTCAAATAAATAAAAATAAAACACAGAAAGAGAAGAGTTTAGATGTCAATATTATGTAAGGTAAAGGAGAATTCAGAGCAAGGTTATCACTAGAGGAAGAAAATGCTACTACATTACAAACTGGCCTTTTTTTTAATTTTATTTTCCAGTTTAAATTTAGATAAGAAACAAGGTTGCTTCACAAGTCAGTTCCAGGTCCCTCTCCCATTCCCTCCCCTCCTCCCGTGCCCTCCCCCAACCCCCCCCCGTTATCCCCTCATTCCCCCAGGGAGGGTGAGGCTCTCCATGGGGGTGTCCATAGTCTGTCATTTCATATAGGGCAGGGCCTAGACCCTTCCCCAAGAGTTCAGGGTGAGAGTGCACCTCACATTGTTCTATGGGAGTCCAAAGTCCATGTGTATACTTGGGATGGGTACTGATCTGCTGCCCAAGGCTCAATAGATTCCCTAGGCCTCCTCACTGACACCCAGATTCAGGGGTCTTGATCAGTCCCATGCTGGATTCCCAGGCTGATGCCTGGGATTCAAGAGTTAACCTTTGTCTGGTCAGCTGTTTCAGGGGGTTAACCCAGCCCAGTCTTAATCCCTTTGATCATCTGTCCTCCCTCTCTGTTACTGGCTTTCTTGAGTTCAGCTCAGTACTTAACCAAGGGAGTCTGCCTCTTCTTCGATCAGCCACTAAATGAAGTTTCTGTTTCCCAGACTCTCTGGCCATAGGATTGTAGGCTGGCACTCCCCAGATCTATGTCTAAAATCCATATATGAGAGAGTACATGCCATGTTTCTCTTTTTGTGACTGGGTTACCTCACTCAGGATGGTTTCTTCTAGTGTCATCCATTTGCCTGCGAATCTCATGATTCCGTTATTTTTTTCTGCTGAATAGTACTCCATTGTGTAGATGTACCACATTTTCTCTATCCACTCTTCGGGTGAGGGACATCTAGGTTGCTTCCAAGTTCTGGCTATTACAAATAAAGCTGCTATGAACATAGTGGAACAGACATCTTTGTTGTATGAATGGGCGTCTTTTGGATATATGCCTAAGAGTGGAGTTGCTGGGTCTTGTGGTAGGTTTATTCCCATTTTTCTGAGGAATCTCCATACTGCTTTCCAAAGTGGCTGAACCAGTTGGCACTCCCACCAGCAATGGAGGAGTGTCCCCCTTTCACCACATCCTCTCCAGCATAAATTGTCATTGGTGTTTTTGATTTTAGCCATTCTGACAGGAGTGAGATGGTATCTCAGAGTTGCTTTGATTTGCATTTCCCGGATGGCTAAGGATGTTGAGCACTTTCTCAAGTGCCTCTCAGCCATTTTAGACTCCACTATTGAAAACTCTCTATTTAGTTCTGCATCCCACTTTTTAATAGGGTCCTTTGGTGTTTTGCTTCTTGAGTTCTTTGTAAATTTTGGAGATCAACCCTCTGTCAGATGTGGGATTAGTGAATATTTTTTCCCATTCTGTGGGCTGCCTTTTTGTCTTGCTGACTGTGTCCTTTGCCTTACAGAAGCTTCTCAGTTTCAGTACGTCCCATTTATTAATTGTTGATCTTACTGCCTGTGCTACTGGTGTTATGTTCAGGAAGCTGTCTCCTGTACCAATTCGTTCAAGGGTACCACCCAATTTCTCTTCTAAGAGGTTCAGTGTGGCTGGATTTATGTTGAGGTCTTTGATCCATTTGGACTTAAGTTTTGTGCATGGCGATGAACATTGAATTTCTGGTAGAATTCTGCACTGAGGCCATCTGGACCTGGACTTTTTTTGGTTGGGAGACTTTTGATGACAGCTTCTATTTCCATAGGGTTATAGGTCTATTTAAATTGCTTATCTGTTCTTGATTTAGTTTTGGCAAATGATAGCTGTCCAGGAAGTCATCCATTTCCTTTAAATTTTTGAATTTTGTGGAGTACAGGTTTTCAAAGTATGACCTAATGATTCTCTGGATTTCCTCAGAGTCTGTTGTTATGTCCCCCTTTTCATTTCTGATTTTGTTAATTTGCGTGTTCACTCTCTGCTGTTAGGTAAGACAAACTGTCCTTTTAACCCTGAACAAATACTAGTAAACAGAATTCAACATGTGGTAACAACAAACACTCAGAGAACTAGAAGAAATATATAAATCCTTCATTATATCTGGAGACATACATATTATTTTAGGTCCCCATTATATTCAAAGCATTACCTGGCTTTGAAAATGGGACAGTAAAAAAAAATATATATATATATGTATATATACATACATAATGTCTGATGCATGACAGTGTTTTCTATATAGGTCAGGGAAATGCACACATCAGTCTCCATAATACAGCTGCCTAAGCAAACCTGCAGAGTGACAATCCCGTTGACATGCTAATATGGATAAGAGAAATCTCACTAGACAATGAGCTGCAGGAAATAATGGCTGAAGAGAGAATGAACATAAGTTTGTTTCAGGGATGAACCTCTTGACAGGTTATCCAATCTCAAGCAGTCAGCCCCCAAAAGATATGCATAGGAGCAGCACTAAATGGCCTCAGAAGCTTGTATTTGTGTGTGTGCATTTGTGTGTACGAGTGCATCTCTCTGTCTGAATAATAATTTTTAAAAAATGAGGCTGTAAATTTGAAAGGGAGTGCAGGGAGACATAGGAGCAATTTAAGACAGGAGAGAAAATTCAAGGATAACATTTTAAAAGATGCCTCAGAAAACTCAAGGTGTATTAGGGAAAACAGATGTTATTAAATTAACAAGGACTTTAATCCGCTGTGACTGTAAGTGATCCACAAGGAACCTCTAAGACACTAACATTGCAGTATCATTTAAAGTATCCTGCTTAATATAACCAATCAGCAAACACATAACGTCTTAGCTACATAACTAAACAGGGTCTATGCTTCCATTGTATTTCTTGGAAATTTTTAAAGAAAATCCATATTACCCTGCGTAGATTTCAAATCTTCCACACAGCCAGGGAAGCAGCATTCTCTGAATGTCTGTACTTCATTTTGCCAATGAAATGATTTGCAGTGCCTCTTTCTCAGCTGGTTATTTTCCAACACAAAGTCAGATAATAGGACAATAATAATTGGTTTATTACATTTTTAGTTTGTTAAGGCAAGACCTCATATAGCAAAGGCTGGCCTCAGAATTGCTTTGTAACGGAGGATGATTAAAAATTTGAATCTGCCTGCCTTTACCTCCCAAGTGCTGGGACTAAAGGTGTGCCGCTCCATTCCAGTTGTGTGTTGAATATGAACTACTCTCTATGAGCTCACACATTTGAACACTTAGTATCTAGAAGGCGGTCCTGTTTGGGAAGGTTTTGGAACCTTAAGAAGGAGGGACCCTGCTGTATGTTGGTCACTGGTAGAGGGCCTAGGGCTTTTTTTTTTTTTTTTTTTTTTTTTTTTTTGGTTTTTTGAGACAGGGTTTCTCTGTATTGTTTTGAGGCTGTCCTGGAACTTGCTCTGTAGACCAGGCTGGCCTCGAACTCACAGAGATCTGCCTGCCTCTGCCTCCCCAGTGCTGGGATTAAAGGAGTGTGCCACCAATGCCTTGCAGGCCTAGGGATTTTATAACCTGGTCACAGCTCCTGCTCCCTCTCTTTTAAATGCTAATGAAATGCTGTCTCCAGCCAGCCTCCTACTTGTACCACCACGTTTTCTCTGCATTGATAAACTATATTCTCTCACACTATGAACCAGAATGAAGCCTTGCTACTTCAGTTACTTCTTGCTGGTCTCAATTAGAAAATGTATTAAAACACCCATTTTAATGTGGAGGTTGGGATGAAGCACAGACTTATATACAGGCTGGGCAAGAGCCCTACCAACTGAACTACATAGGTGTACGTGGCTGATGAAAATTCTAAACACATAAGATAAAAACAGGGTGAAGAAGTGCATGGTAGACGACCAAAACCAGACTTACCCAAGCCCACAAACCACCAGGTAACAGAGACTGTGGACTTACCACAGTGTAGATCTGATGCTTGCGTCTTTTAGCCAAGTCAATTATGTTTACTCCATTGTAGTAAAGGTTTTCCATACAGCCATGGAAGTTTTTCTTTAAAAATGTCCCAGGTTTGCTTGGCACTGGAATTCCTCCAAAACTGAGCTTCATGGTGGAAAAAAATCAAAATCAACTCTTAGTTGCAAGATCTGAAGACGTTGGAATGTAAGAGAAGTAAGTACATTCTCTAGATTTAATTGTATGTGTGAGCCAAGAGGCTTTAGTAATTGCACATGCCACCTGATTGCTCAATTTAAAAGATGCTGATTAGCCTATATAAAAATATCTGTAATTGCTTACCTCTTATGGGTTTACCTTACAAAACCATTTTCATTTCTTTATTAGAACTTTTTAATACTAAATAAAACAGTAATTTACAAGGGAAAGAAGAGAAAATAAAAAATCAACATCTTTATGTTTTTCTGGAGCAGCAGAAAGGATGCAGCCATATAAAAGCTAAGGAAACACACAGATACTTGCTCCAAAAATGACTATTTCTAAAACTCACAGTAACCAAAGACCTTTTATGCACAGGGTTGTTCCGCAACTGTTATCTATTAAGATAAAAGGTTGAAATAATGACAAGTGTCTTATGGACTTGAGAAGTAATTAATAACCAGCATTCTGGATCTGTTATCATGACAATTATTAAATATTTACAGTAAGATACGAAATGAATGCAATTTTGATTGTAAAGTACAATAATTACTATTAACTATAAAATATGATCTCAGGCATGAGAAAGTTGTGTACACCAGGGTCAGGAGATATTCATGTGGTAAAAGCACTAGCCTTATAGGCTCAATGACCCAAGGTTGATTCCTAGAACTCCTGTTAAAAAATAAATAAAAGTAAAAAAACAAAGAAAAAAACCAGCAAGTCAGTTGAAACAGCCTGCTCCAGCCCTACTATGAATAGCCAGTAGGGGAGGAAATGAAAATGTTCCCGAAACTCACCAGCCAGCTAGTCTGGAGTAAACACTGCAGCAACTAAAACAAGAAAGACTCTGTTGCAAAGTATAAAATGAACAACTACTGAAACTTGTTCTCTTACTTCCACAGCCACAACATGATACATGTGTGCATGCACCATACACACATACACACACACACACACACACACACACACACACACACACACACACACACACACCTACAAAGTTTAGGCACAGAACTACAGTTTACAGATGTTAGTTTTCTTTACTATGTATCTGTCCAGTAAATTAAGACAATTTATGATAGATATAGTGAATAACAAAACAACCTTTGGGAATACTGGTTCTACTGTGCAAGACAAAGGAACAGTAATTAGCCTCTCATTTGCCTCCCCATCATTAGCCAGGAGCCAGGTATTCTCCATTGCTTTGAAAAGCCGCATTACCTAGGACACTTCATCCTTGCATCTCTCTCCTTTCTCCCTGGTTTCTTTCCTCCCTGTGTCCCCTTTTCTCTGCTTCCTCTGCATCCTCTATCACTTCCCCCATCTCCTCTCCTCTTTCCTGCATGGACAATGTCAGAAGGGAACATGTTCTCCCAACTATGGCATCTTCTCTCAGTTTCTCCCATCATTAGTCATATACTAATACTATAGTGGGCCCAGATGTTTAAGTTGCAAAGGATTTTAAATGTTTCTTACTCTGATGGGGCTATAAAATATTTATTACTTTTTCTTCTGCTTTACCTCTAAATATAATTACAAGGCTTTCATCTATTTTTAACTTGAAACTCTAATCACTATTTGTTTATGCTTTTATGTAGTTTCTTTGAATTTGAGGTGTAAATTCATGAGATATGCACAAAACACTTTAATCTTCAAATTTATTCTCTGTAGTTTTATTTTACTTTGCTTTTCTAGTCAAAATTTTCTAAGACATAGCAAAACCATTTTGAAGACTTAAAAAAAAAAGCAATACAGAATTTCTGGAAACAAAGCATGTAAACAGCAGCCTTCTGTTTTCCAATTATGCAAAGCAGTGATTCTGACTTCTTCATTGAAAAAATATTTCCCACTCGTTCCATATATTGGTTATTTATGTTTGTTTTTTATTGACATATTATAAATAATAAGGTAATGTAATTTTGTTCTTTGTCTTTTCAAAAATAAATACCATAGCATGTAAGAAGCATTAGGTTTATTTTACTAATAAGTAGAATTATAGACCAGAATCTAAGTTCAGAGATTCACTTTGAACTTATTGAACCACTCTACATATCATTTGCCTTAAATTGAACATATACATAAATTAAGGAGCAAATGAATTTAAGTTTTAATGTTTTTGAAGTCTAGATTTGTCTAATATGAATTAAAGTATTTATTGATTTTATAAAAATAGATTATAAATCTTGAAATTTTTAAAAAATCTATGAAAACTATTGATAACTTATTTATGAGGACACTATTGATTTGTTGCAGTATTCCAATACTTTTACTGTGAGCACTTTGCAGTTTTAAAAGGTACATTTTAAATTTATTTTCAGGAATTAAATTGTTAATGTAAAAGTATTATAAGATACCTCTATTTTTACAAGTTTGCGCAGAGACTGGTAAGTTTATCCTGTTCATTTTTATGTTAAGCATCTTTAATTTTAAAAAGAAACTCCAATATTCTCTGCTTCCCACATAGAGAATATTGGCTATAGAATAGTGCTTGAAAAGGCTGAAGAGGAATAAAACAGAATTTCTTTTCAATAACAAGCCTTTTGTTTATTCACGGAATAAACAGTGTAGATGGAAACTATGCAGAGTGCTGAATATAACAAAGCTGTAATCTCATATTGTACATAAGGGGAACAACCTGCCATGTTGTGTGGAATGCTTTGGAAAGACATTCAGTGGGGATGGAACTAAAGCAGTGGGGAGTTTGTGGGCTTCCTCTCTGAACCTGTCTGGGGCTCCAAAGGAGGAAAACAGCACTTGTGATGGATAATATTGATGGTCAACTGAATAGAATGAAGAATCTCTGAAGAACAAATCCTTGGGCATTTCTGAGAGATGATTTATAGACTGTTTTAGTTAAGGTAGTTTCATTCCATGCTGGAGGCTTGGCCTGAATAAAAGAGAGTAGACACATTGTACATAGCACTTGACTTTCTCTGCTTCTTGACTATGGATACAATATGACAAGCTGCCTCAGTTCTTGCTGCTATGATGGACCGTGTCAACAAACTGTGAGCCAAAATAAACCCATCCTACCTTAAGTTACTTCTGTCTGGGTATTCTGATCTTGCAATAAGTAAAGTAGCTAAGGAAGCACTTACACTCATGTTTGCATAGTCATTATGCTGCAAGACTGTTAGAGTTAGTTGTCTGGGACTCAGACTGACCCCTGAGCAAAACAGCTAGTTGCATGAGATGCAATGTGGAAGGCCTGAGAGCTGTTTGGTTGTGATTTAGACACTCATGTATGACTGTTAGAGGTACAAGAACAGAAAGACAGGATTAATATATTGAGGCTCTTAGAAAATGCACAAATGGCAGGTTGGGAGGTTGGCAGATCCCATATGACACATCTCACAGGCTACATCACAGCATGGCAAGCATCACATACAGAAGCAACAAAAATTGGCACATGATTTTCATGGACTCAAAAGAGCTGAAGCTACTGTGTATCATTTGCAGGTGGAACAATTTACTGCCACCTGGCTGACTAACAGCCCATAGTAAAGAAATGAGGAACTCTTCAATGCAGATAGCTTTAAGAAAACATTAACTAGTTATTAGTAAGATTGGTGATCAGGAGTGGGATCATGAATTTCCACGTAGAATGACAAAAACTTTAAAGGAATTTTAGAAACAAAAGAATGGAGAAAAGCATGGGTTCTTGGTAGCAGCATTTTTCTCAGGTGGGCTCTGTTTTGCTAGCAACAAGCAGAGACTCATGCTGCTCACTTAAGGAAGTTTTCCTGACTCAGCATAGGCAAAAAAACAAAAAAAACAAAACAAAAAAAAAAACAGCAAGGTTTTTTAAGAGGCTCTGCTAATGATTGAAAGGCTGGAATTGGCAGTGACCACACCTCCTAGCCAGCGGCTTTTGCTGGATGTCAGCATAGACTGAGACAGTGAGCTGGAATCACAGTTATACCCACCATCTTGGAAAAACTGCAGAATAACAGCCTCAGTTTTAATAGCTATGTGGCCATAAAATCATAAAGAGTTACAGTAAAGTCAGACTTGGATAAAAAAAATTCTAAAGGTTTACAGTGTGTTTAAAAATATACGTAGGATTGAGATTAAAAAACAAAAACAAAAACAAAAAACGACATAGTGGTAAATAAATAGAGAAGCCGGCTATGGTGGCACACGCAGGTAGGATTTCCTCCAGAGGCAGAGGCATGCAGATTTCCAAAGAGAAACCCTGTCTCAGACAAAAATAAATAAAAGTAAAAGAAATAAAGTAATAATAGATAAATAAATAAGCCATGTAAAGATGGAAAATACACAAAAACTCTGGATACTGTACGCTATTGTGTTTTTCAGTTTTTTGATTGCTAAGGAACAACTGCTAAAGTACACTTGATTATAAATGCTGCTGAATTAATTCAACTTATATCTTTTGAAAATGCCTTGACTTCAAAATTTAAGTATAAGTATATGTTACTTTGGAAAAGAGTTTTTGTTTATGTTTCTACAGAAAATGGAAAGCTGTGGATTTCTTCCAGGCTTCTGTGGTTTGATGAACCCAGACCCCCGGAAGCAGTGGGCCAGGTATTCAACAATCAAGACAGCTAAGATGATGCAGCCTTACAGACCCTGAAAATAAGGACTTATGCAGGTTTCTTACTTCGTCCTGATCCCTGTAGTATAAACAGCGCCCCCTTCCAGCACTAAGCAGTTTGGAATAAGTGATGTCCAAATCCCCATATTGTTTATAAATCTTTGTTTTCATTTGAATGGGGTTGCTTATAATTGGTTAATAATCACAACCAATCTCTTTTTAAAGGAAAAAGGGGATTATGGTATGGAAAAGAATACTTGGTATGGTTTTTCATTTATTGATACAAATTCAAGGTCAATTTTTGGTGCATATATTTCTCCTCTTGATTAAGTAATGTGCTTATACTGATCTTTTAAAATGTAATGCATAATTAAATACAGACTATAGACTT